ACTGTTCCAAATCCGATACACTGATGCTCAGCCTAGCTTTGCGCCTCTTCCATTCTATGCCTCCAGCATGTTTGCCTCCCAGATCCTTCAAGTTCGGCTAAACACAACTATATAAACTATTGTCATTTTATTTGTACTCCCATCACCCGTTATTTGCAGACTGGTCGGAAAACCGTTTTTTGGGTGAGTCAGGAGATGAACTTTAGGCTTGTCGGCTGAAAGCTTAAGTGTCACAAGCCTTTCATCTTTCCTAGGAAATGAGTGTTTCTCGGTTAAGCATTTGGATGGGCTAGGAAGCGCTTGTTTCTCTTCTTATTATTTTCTTGTTCCAGTGAGCAAGCGGAGGCTCGTCGTGCTAAAAACAAAGAAGTAAGAAAACGACGTGAAGAACGTATGGCAATAAAGCGAGCCGAAGCCATTCATAAGGTTTCGGAAACTGAAAAGGAAATCAAAGAGGTGAAGCCGGAAACGAAGGAAGCTAAAGAAACAAAAGTAGCAGAGAAATAAACACCGGCATTTTGTTTCTCCCCGGGATGTTCTTACCACTGTGAAACCAAATGCACTTATTGTTAAGCTTATCACTGGAATAAATACTGTTGCAGCGATTGCCCTCACTGAAATGACATCTAACTCTTCCCTTGGTTTTTTTCACTGCGCAGCATATTCAGCTCTTGACAGAGAGGAGCACGCGCTTGATTCATGGAATTCTGACCGAAGTGATGATGCCTCGGGCCGGCGCGGTGCCAGCTCCTGGTCCCACCTCTGCTCGATTACCTGCGCAATGGGACGGATGTGCTCATTTATACAGATAGCTAGGATACCTGGGAAATCGGGGGAATACATCCCGTTTGTCAAACGCGAGGCCCAGCATTAGCGTCTGGCAGCACAGTTCATCTCTCCAGCAGACAGTCTTCCTACCCCTATGAATGTTGCATCGCCAGTAGTCAATGTGCTGAGGGTTTGCCGCCTAATGGATCTCAGTGCAGGAACGCTTGGTTTCGAGATGTCTCCGCGTGCAATAGCTCTGAGCTGCCTCAGCGTGCAGGAGGTTCTTCACGCAGTTCTTCTTTATCGAACTGTGTGTTTGGTTAATGTTGGTAAACTTTAGTGGTCGATTTGTGGCGCTCATTTCGTAATTTCGAAATATTTTATGTCAAATTCTAGTGCGCGTCATAAGCATTGCAAGAGAATCTAGCATGGGATGGGAAGCAGCGGCCGTCTGCTTGCTAAACTTCCCGGTCACAGAGCAAGGCAGAGAGCATGGATTTAGGCAGAAAAGAAGGCAGAACAGATCTGAGGCACTTCTGCAATGGGCAGTCTGTAAAAGAGGGCTGTTTTAATCAGTAACAGAGTTGCTCGCTGTGAGCGTAACTGCAGGCCCTCTGGCTAAATCTGAAATTTTAATAGCTGCCGGAGGTTGGTGGGCAGATTTCTGAAAATAGCTCATCCGATTTTCCAAGAAGTAACTACGAGTTAGATTTACGTTGATCTGATCGTAGATTCGCTGCTAGTGGTCGGCAAGCGGCGCCTGGTTGTGCCCCGCGGGAGGGTGGTCAACGTTCAGGATGAGGCGCTGATGCTGGACGTGCACCAAGCAAGCCTGAAATGACTGAATCCTTGCCAGTTGATTTGCTCGGGCGTTCATTCCGCTGGTGATCCCTGCGGAAGACATCTTAGATCTGCTGCTAAGAACCTGCCAGTTCTGTTCCATGAATAAACATACTGACGATTGGCTCATTTCACTAGTTACTGCAGTTGCGCGACGAGGGGGGTTACGTTGCATTTGCGTTACTGCTGGCTGTCTGATCGTGCACTTCCTGGACAGTGTCCACATCGGTTTTTATTATTATAT